CCGGCGCGCCGCCCGCCCCCGCCGGCCCTGCACCGGGGCGGATGCTGTCGCCCACGGTGCCCACCTCCGCCAGCGCGCGCTGCAGCTTGACCAGCTGGCGCCGCGGCCAGCGTCGGATGCCCAGGCGGCGGCAGGAGCGCTTGAGCGTAGTCACACACACGCCCAGGTTCCGCGCCGCGTCCTTGACCCCGTGCCCGAACTGGGCCTGCAGGTCGCGGAGCGTCAGCCGGCACGCGCCGCCGCCCCGCGACGCGTCGTCGCCCGGGTCGGCGTCGGGGTCCTCCGACCCCGCCTCGGAGCACTCGTCGTCGCTGGCGCTGCGGGCCGGGCGCCGGCCGCCGCGCGCGGCCGGCGGCCGACCGGAGCTGTGGCCGGGCGCGCCGCGCGCGTCCCGGGCCCCGCCCGAGCCCCCGCTGGGCTCGTCCTCCTCCATCATGCCGTCGTCATCGTGGCCGGGGACGATCGTCCCGGGCCCCCCCAGCCCGCCCAGGCCCTGCACGGGGCGGGAGAGCAGCGCGCGCAGCGCGGCAGGTGGCGGCTGCTGGGGGCCGGCGACGCTGCGCGGGCTCGGCGCGCCGGCCGCGCCCTCGCCCAGGCCTGGGAAGGCATAGCCGGCGCTGAGCGCGCCCGCCTGCAGCAGGGCGTGCAGCGTGCACAGCATGCCGGGGTCGCGACGGGACAAGACCACCTCTAGCACTGTGAGGCAGGGTTGGAGGAGAGGGGAGGGAGGGGGGTCAAGAGGGGGAATGGCGAGGGCAAGGGAAGTGAGGACAAAGAGAGGGCTGGACTTCGCAGCTGGCTGTTCGATGCCCCATCAGTATCGGATTCTCATGCCACCCAAGTCCATCCTTGAGACTTTGCAAGCAGTGGCAGCCCTCATGCCTGTGGCTCCAACACCTTCCCAAACAATGCCCACCTGCCAGCGGCTCGCCCTTCATGCCCATCATGCGGTCCAGCAGGGGCAGGAGCAGGACACTGTGCGCAGCGCAGGCCCCGGCACAGTCGGCGCGCGGGCAGTCGGCGGCGTCCAGGGCCGCCAGGTCAACGATAGCGCAGCCCTGCGGTGCGTAAATGATGAGGTTAACTTTGCTGACACTGGCAAATGTAAATGGGAGCAGACCCATGGCCAAGGCGTGAGCCCATTTTGCTGGTGCAGCAATCTCCCCCCCTCCCTTAGGGGGGGCGCTTATTCACCTGCCGATTGTGGAAGACGGAGGCTGGGGTGCCCTGGCCCAATGCCTCCCCCAGAGGGAAGCAGTGCTTGGTGCTCATGTACCGGAACAGGGCGAGCTCGTCGCCGTCGCCGAGCAGGAAGTAGGGCAGGCCCTGTGTGGACAACACGATGCCCTCCTCCAGGTCGCGGCAGGCCCAGACCTGCAGCAGGGCTGCCCCAGCCCCCGCGAGCACCTCCTCCCGAATATGGGCGGTGAGCGTGGCCACCTGGGTGCGATGGGGGTGGGGAAGGGGCGGGGTGGATCGCTCGGCATCGTGGAGAGACTGCATGGCGAGGAGCAACACCCGGGGGGCCCCTCACCAGGGCCCGATAGCTCTGCGCCATGAAGACCGACCCCGGCCTGATGCGCGAGTGTGGCGCGGGTTAAGAGGTTCAGGACGGGGATGGATGAGGGTTCGTGCCTCCTTCGTAGCTTCACCGCCCAGTTGAAACAACTTGATGCTCTAGCGGAGCGGGAATGAGGTTCGACCGGTGCTGATGGGAGCGGGCCTTTTAAATCGCAGGGCGCTTCATGGGCGTGCCCTGGCTCCGGCCGGACCTCTGGCAATGCCTTAATCCGACTATAATGCTGTGCATGACCTTTGTAGCCAAAATAATGGGATGATCCTGCCGAGAACTCGCTGCTACGAGGACATGGGTGCAGCCTGTCGCAATGCGAACTTGAACCCGGGAAGAAAGAACACCCTTCCAGTGAGGGTGCCACGTCGAGCACCATCAGGGTGTGCTGCAAAGGCCGGCACGAGACAGGGTAGCTCTAGCATCATAGAGATTGCCGTTTTATATGTGCTTAATCATTTGGAACTACTGTACTGAAGATTACCTGTGGCGGTAGGCTTCCCCCTGTACCGCATGCTGCGCTGAGACGACCTCTGAGCGTCTTTGTGCGAAAATTTTCAGCAATTAGGAAGTATCTGCGAAACCTCGTAGAACAAACATACTGCGTGTGAAGCAGCCGTATACTTGATACCGTCTGCGCGGTAGGAACCTGCGCAATGTCGGCAACTGGAATCATCCAGCCCAAGACTCGGCGTGGCAGGCGCCTGCTGGAGAGCCGAGCCCCCAAACTGGTGCGTTGAGGGTAGCTCTTCCAAGGGGTGTGTTCACGTTGACAGGTACTCTGGGTGGCTGAGCGTCTTCACCGGTTGTCTTGCATGGCATTCCACTCACCGCTCACCATTCCGCAGATTGAGGACACCCGGAGGTCGATGATCATCAGTGGCCACAAGGTCAACCAAACGATTAAGGATGTGCTCACCGACCTTCACAAGCTGAAAGGGGTGAGTGGTATCCTGCTGCTGCAGGAGCATAGGTTGGGACCAGCAAAGGAGGATTAAGTCTGGGTGCCGAGACATGCTTCTCGTGGAGAGTTTGCCATTGGGGCTGAGGGCTGTCAATCAAAGGAAGTTGACATTGGTACGAGATCACTTGCTCTTCATTACAGTCTGACGTCATACACCTTGCCTTTGACAGAGTTTTACATCATCCCTGCACCTGTTGCTTTTCCCCCCTCTTTCTCTCCCAGGTGGACTCCCTGCGCATGTCACGCAAGAACGACGTGCTTCCCTTTGAGGCAGGGGGCGACGTGTGGCTGGAGTCGCACGGCTCCAGGGCCAACTGCAGCCTCTTTGCCGTGGGCACACACTCCAAGAAGCGGCCCAACAACCTGGTGCTGGGGCGGCTGTACGACTTTCGAATGTATGACATGATCGAGTTTGGGGTGAAGGGGTTTGCCCCCATCCAGGCTTTCTCAGGCGCACGCTCTTCCCAGCTGGGAAACAAGGTCAGCGAGTTTGGGTGGTAGGGGACTGCCAGCCCCACAGCCCGCCTCTGCCTCAATAGCTGAGAGGGGATCCCTGATGTGGCGGTCTGGAGCAAGGCCACCCAAAGATGGAAGGAGAGGTTGATGGCTACATGTGGTCAGCATGCTTGCTGTGTGACTCAGTTCCTGCATTGGGGATAAACCGTGACACAACGATACCAGTGTCCCAACCTCTGCCCTCTCATCGCAGCCCGCGTTTGTCTTTGCTGGCGATGGATTTGAGAGCGATGCCGTCCTGCGGCGGGTCAAGAGCATGTTCTTGGACTTCTTCCGCGGCAGGCAGGTGGATGCGCTCAACCTGAAGGGCCTGGACAGGGTGGTCTTCGTGACCTGTCTCCCAGGGTCAAAGACCATAGTGTTCCGTCAGTACAGTGTCAAGCTCAAACGGTCGGGTGAGGTTGTGGCCAACGTGCATGTTATGGCTGGGAGCTGCACGAGGATGGGGCAGGATTCACTGTTTATTGTATGGGCCTGGGCTGAGAGACTTCTCCAGGCTCACAGTGGGGTCTGCAGAACTCAGTCCTGCACACAGGTCCTCTGATACTTGCCTGACCTACACACCTCACTGGGCAGGATCGTCTCACTCCAACTCACACAAACAGGGACCAAGGTGCCGCGCGTTGAGCTTGAGATCATGGGTCCCAGTCTCGACCTAGAGGTGAGGCGGACCAGGGAGCCTGCGGCCGACCTGGAAAAGGAGGCCATGAAGCAGCCCAAGCTGACGAGGACCAAGGAGAAGAATGTGGCGACAGATGCGCTGGAGGGTCGGGTGGGACGCATCTACATGCCTCCCCAAAACATCGACACCATAGCGCTGCACAAGTCCAAGGTGGGCGAGGCTTCCCTCCGGTGCTGGCCTGCGCACAACGCGCACTTCTCATTATGTCCGAGGCGTATTGCGAGCTCATGTCTCCTTTACAACCACGATAACACGCAGGGCCTGAAAAAGAGGAAGGATGCGCCGGAAGGAGCGGGGGGGGCAGAGGCGAATGGTCAGAAGAAGAGGGCATGAGCTGGTGTCGACTTCCCGACCGACCGACCGGGGTTCATGCAGCGCCCGCCTGCTGTTCCAGGCATGACGGCCTCATGAAAAGACATCATCTTCCGATGGATCGAGAATTTGCACAGGGTAAAACTTCCACTCCAGCTCCGCCATGGCTCGGCAGGTTAGCGCGTGCCTGTCGGAAGCGTGACAGCCAAGCACGCGGCCCCCTTTCCAATCCATCATGGGAACGGCTCCTTGAAGCCGGGAACCTCGTCGCGGTTGATGTGATAAAGGCCCTGGTACCCAATGCACCCCATTGGTAGCTCAAAACTCTCATACTGTTTCTAGACACAGTGACCAGGGGACCTAGCGCTGCCTTTTTGTTCACCTTCGGAAGCCCATCTCCGCCAGTATGCCCGGTAAAAAGTTTGCCTACCTCGCCGAGGTGGGCCCCCCCTCCCCCGCCGCGGATGGCCGTCCCGAAACTGGACCCGAGTATCGGTGCGTCGCGGCGGGGCTGAAGGGGGCGCAGTGGCGATTTCGGAGTACTCATCATGGGCGGGAGTCCCTGATGACGCTGGTCATGGCGTGGGGCCACTCTGGGGACTCCTATCCGGCTCACCCTTGCTCCCCACTCCTCGCCACCGCAGGGTTCGCGTGGCCAAGGACGGCCCCCCCACCGTCAAGGACATCAACACCCTGTCCGACCTGTTCAGCCACTCCGTCTCCCGCTTCGGCGACAAGAACTGCCTGGGCAAGCGCACGAAGGAGGGGTATTCCTGGCGCACCTACTCCCAGACCGCGCGTGAGGTGGCGGCGGTGGGCTCCGCTCTGGTGGCGGCGGGGCTGGCCCCCGGCGGGCGCGTGGGCGTGTACGGCCCCAACGCCCCCGAGTGGATGATCACCATGCAGGCCTGCAACCGCCAGGGCTTCTACTGCGTTCCCCTGTACGACACCCTGGGCGAGTCCGCGGTGGAGTACATCGTCAAGCACGCCGAGGTGACGGCAGTGGCGGTGCTGGGCTCCAAGCTCGGCGCCCTGGCCGCCAGCCTGCCCGCGCTGCGCGACCGCGTGCGCACCGTGGTCTACTGGGACGAGGCCGACGCGGCCACGCTGCGCCGCGTCGCCGACCTGGGCATCGCCGTGCACGCTTTCCACGAGTTCGTCGCGCTGGGGGAGGCCTCGCCCGCCGCCGCCGCCACCGTGCAGGCCGACGACCTGTGCACCATCATGTACACCTCCGGCACGACGGGCGACCCCAAGGGCGTCATGCTCTCCCACCGCGCCGTGGTGTCCACCGTGCTCAGCCTGGACGCCTTCCTGACCGATGCTGGGGTGCGCATGGGCACCGAGGATTCGCTCCTCTCCTTCCTGCCCCTGGCCCACATCTTCGACCGCGCCGCGGAGGAGCTCATCCTCTACGTCGGCGGCTCCATCGGCTACTGGGCGGGGAACGTGAAGGAGCTGCTGCCGGATGTCAAGGCGCTGCGGCCCACCCTGTTCTGCTCCGTGCCACGCGTCTTCGACCGCATCTACTCCACCGTCACGGGGCAGGTGATTGGGAGGGGGGTTGAATGGGGAGGGTCCTGATGGTGCAACCCTCATCCTCTCCGCCACGCTTGAGTCCCAGCCCTGCTCCGCTCATCTCCCCGCACCCTCCCTCTCCCACATCACACCCCAGATCGCCAGCGGCGGGGCGGTGAAGAAGTTCCTGTTCCACACTGCCTTCAACACCAAGCTGGCCCGCCTGAAGAGGGGCGTGGCCCAGGACAAGGTGCGTTGTCAAACACTGTGGGGCGCAGGGGCTTGCAGGGCGGTGTATGGGCTGATCGCGTGCCTCGCCCGCACCCCCCACCGGTTCAGTGCCTTCCCCTGGCTCCCTGGTGCTCCCTGCCCCACTCGCACGCCGCCACACTCTTCCACGTGCCTTCAGGCCGCCCCCATCTGGGACAAGATCGTGTTCAAGAAGATCAAGGCCGCGCTGGGCGGGCGCTGCCGCGTGCTGGTGTCTGGCGGCGCGCCCCTGTCGCTGCACGCCGAAGAGTTCCTGCGCGTCTGCATGGGCGCGCTGGTGGTCCAGGGGTATGGCCTGACGGAGACCTGTGCCGCCTCCTTCATCGCCTACCCCTCCGAGCCGGTGCGCGGGCGTCGTGGAGGGGGAGGGGGAGGAGGGGACCGCGAAGGACATCTACAGAATGCGGCACAGGATTGGCCGGAAGAGCGCCATGGCGTCGTCAGACCCTGCTGGTGCCTGGCCCCGGGCTCCACCTGGGCTCGTTGATGGCCCGCCAGACGCGGCATCCATTCCCCTCTTTCCTCCTTCCTTCCCCCCCAAAAACAAACCCCCCCACCCACCCACACACAACAGGACCACATGGGCACGGTGGGCCCCCCCCAGCCCGCCATCTCCTTCCGCCTGGAGGGTGTCCCTGAGATGAAGTACAGTCCCAGCGCCGACCCGCCACGCGGCGAGGTGTGCATCCGCGGCGCCTCCCTGTTCAAGGGCTACTACAAGGACCAGGAGAAGACGGACGAGGTGCTGACGCGCGACGGCTGGTTCTACACGGGCGACATCGGGGAGCTGAGCCCTACGGGCGGCCTCAAGATCATCGATCGCAAGAAGAACATCTTCAAGCTGTCCCAGGGGGAGTACGTGGCGGTGGAGAAGGTGGAGAGCGCCTACAAGCTCTGCCCCAGCGTGGAGCAGATCTGGGTGTACGGTAACAGCCTGGAGAGCGTGCTGGTGGCCGTGGCCGTGCCCACTCAGGAGCGCCTGGACGCGCACGGCGGCGCAGGTGACGTGGCCGCCAAGTGCGCTGACCCGGAGCTCAAGAAGGCCATCCTGAAGGAACTGGCGGCGGCCGCCAAGGAGGGCGGGCTCAAGGTGGGAATGTGGTCAAGGGGTGGGGGGGGGGGTGGAGGCGGAGGATGGGCTGTGGGTGGCCTGTGAGGCACCAAACCCACCCACCCCGGCTGGGCGAGTGCATGCAGGCTGCTGACTGGTTGGGAAGCACCTCACACTCGACCCCACATGCCCATGTCCCCATTGTCTCCCCACACCAAAAACACCACAGGGCTTCGAGCAAGTGCGCGGCGTCATCCTGGAGTCGGAGCCCTTCTCCGTGGAGAACGAGCTGATGACCCCCACCTTCAAGCTGAAGCGCCCCCAGCTGCAGGCCAAGTACCAGAAGGAGATCGACGCCCTCTACAATACGCTGCGCCGCTGATTGCCCCGATATCGAGGAGGGGAGGGGAGGGGGGAGAGCACACCCAGTCTTCTGGCCGCCCCTTGCCTCAGCCACCACCCCACACACCCGCTGCTCCCTTGCCTTGCTTTCTTAACTCCCCACACCCCAGTACCCCTTGCCATGCCGTCTTAGCCCCTGCTACCCATGCCGACATTTTCAGTACTTGCGTGGGCAGGCCCGTCCCCACTATCAGCGACAGGGCCTGGCCTGGCGCAGCCTTCGCGTGCTGTGCGGCCGTGAGCCATGCGACGTGGCCGCCCTCTCATCCCACCTCCCCCACACAGCCCAGCGAACGATTTTGTGTCGGGGAGTGCCGTTTTGTTTGTGTGCTTGAACTGTTGCAGAGCCCATGGTGTGTCCCCGCACGCCACCCCGCCCACAGCGGGCAGTGTCAAGCCGAGCGTGTGTCTGAGATGGAGAGGAAGCATGGAGAGGGCTGTTGTGGAGGGACCGATGCGCAAGCAAAGGGCATGGCATTGGCAATGCCATGCACAGCAGGCGCCTGCACGATGCCCAGGGTCTGGCAGCGACGGCAGTGCAAACGGCATCGTGACTGGTCTCGGTGCCGACGCCACCCCACTCGAGGGTCAGGAGAGCGTCGGCTACTGGACTCTGGCGCACAAGGCGACCTGGGCCACTGCCCTGCCGGGGACCCCCTTCTCAGCGCTCTCAGCGCGGCTCGCACAGGCCCAGGAGGAAGGCGGACTCGCGCGAGGACAGGGGCGGCCGGAACTCCAGGGCGCTGCACCCCGCGGCGAACTCATCTAGCAGCGCGCGCAGGCCCGCGTCCCTGCCGGGGGCGCGCGGCTGCTTGACCCCGGCATGCATCATAAGTCGCAGCAGGGCCGAGGCAAAGGCGGGGGAGTAGGGGGGCAGGGCCGCCTCAAGCACGCCGTAGGCCAGGTGGCGCAGGAGGGAGGGGTCGGCGCGCGCACGGTATTCGGCCGCCCACTCTAGTACCTGCAGTACCCGGCCCGCCGCCAGCAGCTGTACCGCGCAGTCCAGCAGGGCGCGGGCCACGTCGTGGTTGCTGTTGCCCATGGCCTCCAGGATGCTGCCGATGAGGCGCAGGATCTAGAGGAGTGGGAGGGGGTGAGAAGGATAGGTCGTGTTGCGATATGCTGAGGGCAAAAAGGTAGCTCAACCGTCGGAATCAGGGGGCATCCTGAGTACCAGGGGAGAACGGCTTGCCGGTCAGGAGGGGACTTATCTTCTAAGAGGATCAGTGCAGAGGGCTCCGGCACCTAGCAAAAGGGCTCCCACCACTGCTGCATCCCACACCATCACGGGTCATGCAAGGCACCACCAAGCAAGGCACCTCATCGTGGAGCTGGGGCTGCAGCGGTATGACCCTGCGGAGGAGGGCGAGGAAGGGAGGCAGGCGCAGACCGTGGAAGGTCGTGCTCCAGTGGGCCGGCTTGGCCAAGCGCAGCTCCATGCCGCACAGCAGCCCTGCGTCGATGGCGAGGCCGAATCAGGTCTGGGCCCACGGCAGGGAAGGGAGGAGGGCGGCAGCCCTTCTTCTGATAGTTCTGCCATTCCTGCCCAATGAAATGTTCTTGGTAACATCCCTGCACAAAGCGTCACCTGCCTCCAGGATAAATTCCTGGACGCAGGCATCAGACTCGCAGCCCATGCACCGCTCTCCATCACCCCACACCCTTCATCTCCTCTCCAGCAAAACCAAAAACCAACCTGCTGCGCAGATGGGCACCGTAAGCACCTCGCCCGTTCCCTCCAGCTCTTCCGCGCTGAGCTTGGCGTCGTGCAGCGCCTTGCGCGTCAGCGTCACCGCCCCCATCAGCGCGGCGCGCGTGGCCTCCAGCGCCGCCTCGCGCTCGGGCCCGCCCGCCGCGGCTCGCGCCAGCAGCTCGACCGCGCCGGCGAGGGCCTGGCCCGCCAGCCCCTGCCCGGGGCCAAACAGGGCCGCCAGCAGGACCCAGAAGACTCGAGGGTGGCGCAGGAGGTCCAGGCTGGGCCGCGCCTCGGCCGGCTCGGCGCCGTAGAGGGCGCACAGCCTGATGACCTCCAGGCTGGGCAGCGGGCCGCCCTCCACGCTGGCCATGAGGTCGGCGAGCAGGGGACCCACGGCCCCAGACCCCGGCTCGCCCCAGAACAGCGGGCTCAGGCGCCACACCACGGCGCCCTGGGTCTGGGCGGCGTGCCCTGCCAGGTCAGCGGCCAGCCGGCGAAAACGGGCCCCCTGGGGGTGCGCGCCCAGGCTCTGTAACACCGACTGGACGTGAATGTAGGTGTGCTGGCTCTGGCTGGCGTTTTGCTGTGTGATGGGCAGAGGGGGTGAGAGGGGATGGGGGACTGTTGGGGGGGCTCACCAAACTCAACATGCAGGAAGAGGAAAGCTCGATCGATCATTGCCGGCATGCCACTGCTGCGTCACAGCAGGAGCAAGCCAGCCACCTGCACCACCCTCTCTGCATACCCGGGGCCAGCAAAAGTAGGCCTGGACCCAACATCCCGACATCCTTCCTCCCGAAATCGACGCAGGCAAGCAGGCACACTACCTCCAGGCCCTCCCCCTCCGCGTGCCTGTATCTCCGCAGACAGCTTGTCCAGCTCCCGCTCGCTGGTGGAGGCCAGGGCAGCACTGAGGCGCGTGACCATGAGCCGGTGGAAGACGCCAAAGTAGGAGCCCAGGCGCGGCCCGACCGCCGCGACCTCCGCTTCGCGCCCGGGCTGCTGCAGGATCTTCTGGATCGCAAAGTTCAGCAGCAGCGAGTTGGCGTAGCGGCCAGACAGGTCGTAGATGAGCTGGCGCCCGTCTGTCGGCGCAGGGGGTGGAGGACGGGAGGATGGAGAGCCAGCCACTGCGTATCCAAGCTGGGCATCGGGAGCACATGCATGGTGTGGCACTCTCCAGGGCAAGCCTGACCTAGGCCTGCAGGCGTCCTCTGCTATCGTACTGATGAGGAAGGGCTTTGACATTGCTCTCTGCAGGCAGGGTTCCCTCCCGGGCATCCACCACCCCTGCCCTCATTGCTCACCTGTATCGGCAATCAGGGAGTGCAGCCATGGGGGGGCGCCCGCCCCGCCCCTGGAGAAGATCCCATGGAAGCTCTTGGGGTCAAACCTCTCCTTCACCAGCTCCTGCATGCGATGTGAGGGAGGAGGTTGGTGAATACCTCCGATCACAGTCTTGGGTTCCTCACCAGGACCCAGCTGCAGGGCCTAGCGCTGACATCAAGCCCACCCACTCTGAGACAGGAGGCCTCGTCCAGAGGGGGCTGGCTGGCGGCCCGTGGGGTTCCAGGGTCATTCCCAGCTGCCCCATGTTGCACGGCGGCCAGCCACTGGCAGACCAGCACAGCCATCTGGGCGTAGCCTGTTGAAGATTGGGTGAGGTGGGGGGGGTCCAGGGCGTGAGAGACGGCATACTCCATACTTGGCAGCAAAATCTCTCCATTCCAAGGCGTGGAGGACACTGTCCTTTGGCGCTGCAACGCGCCCATGTGCACAACACACCATTTCCACACGCACACCGCGTCCCTCCCAATGCCCTTCCACGAAACAATAGTGCACCCACACATGCCCGCTCCTTCAGCACGCCAATCACAGGTGCCCACCCTGGTAGCTGTCACTCAGGTACTCCACCGCCTGCTGGGGGTGTCCATTGGCCATGACATACTCGCGCAGCCTGTCCACGATGGAGGGCTCCATGATGGCATCGGGCTGGCGCAGGAACGCCTCCAGCTCATTCAGAGTGGAGGAGTGGTCGGGCATGTCGGGTGGGGTGGGGGCCGGGAGCCCAGGACCGGGGGCTGGCGGGTCATCGGACCCGTGCATGGCGTCAGGGAGGGGCTCCGTGATGGCTGGGTCGATAGGTCGCGTCCATTCCGCTGGAGGGCGTGTACGCGACACCAGCGATGTAAGCTAGCCTTCAGAAGGTATTTGCATTCGTGGTATCACTGTGTCTGAGACCCGTGGCGGCACTTGACGACGTGCTGTAGCACTTGCTGGTGGGCTTTCCCAGCACTCGCTCGGCTGGCAGGGAATGGTCCACCGAACTTGAGATCCCTATAAAGCAACGCAATCGAGGTATTCGCATGCGGCATCGGACGCCGGGTCGAGAGGATGTCGAAGATCGCACTTTTTGACTGGGGTGCGCGCAAATTCAGAGACGCATGGAATTGCGGCAGGGCCAGTGCCCAGGGTATTTTGCCAGCCAACCTCAAGCCATACCTCCAGATCATGTTCTCCGATAAATTACAACCGTGACCATTCATTTTTGAGTGTGCAGAAGGGCATGCCTGAGTGTACAAGGGGGAAAAGTGCCATCGAGGTGGGATCAGCACGAGGCAGTCGAGGCGCATGTCCCATGGTGCCCCAGCATTCGCTGCAAAGTCCACCCTAAGTCGTGGAGGTTGATGCACCAGCAGATAGTCTGGTGCATCAGAATGCATGCATTCTCAAGCCTCCAGGTACGTACAATGGTCTCAAAGGACCTCAGCCCTGCATGGCAGCGCGTCACATTGATGGCCTCGGGCGACGACGCCCGTCAGGCTTCCCGGTGCAGGCGCCCATAAGACCAGGGGCGATACTGATCCTTGGTGGACAGAGAACGGAAATGTCTTGGCCAGCCTCACTAGGAGATTCTTAATTCTGTCAAGGAAAATAGGACAGGCCCTGTTGGAAGTGGGAGGGGCGTGAGGGAGGTCAAGCACGGCATGTTTACATCATTGAGGAATCCACCGTCACCATCATGTCACCAAGGCATCGTGTACCCCCCACAGCCCTGCTCACATGAACTCATGGCCGGGGTGCGCCTCAGAGGGCTCCCATCACCGTCTCCGACCCCAGGGACCCACTCCCCTGCCGGCCACGCTCGGGCCTGTCCTCCAGCGCTGCGGCAAGCTGGGACTTGAGCGTGTTCACAGTCACCCGCATGGCCGCCAGCTCCTCCTCCAGCGCGCAGCTGTGCGCCCTCTCGTTCCGCAGCGCGGCGTGCAGGGAGTCTACGCTGGCCAGGAGCATGCCAATCTGTTCCAGTAGCGGGCCCTGGCTCGAGGATTCCAGCTCGGCATGCGGGCTGGAGGGCTGAGTGCCTGTGCCGGAACCAGACTCCTGCATGTCCCCGGAAGCCACATAATTAACCTTTACAACACCGGATGGGGGCTCGCGTGGTCGAGGGGAGAAGCCCTCCAAAGCCACACTGAGCGTGTTCCGCAAGCCCGTCTCGCCGTTTTCCTACACAGAATGCCCGGGTGACGCCTCGAGTGGACATCGTGGGAAATAAAATGCACTGGGGATTGCACAATGCCAAAATTTAGCGCACCTGACTGGGTTGGAGGTACGCCTCGGGCGTCATGGCGCGCGGAAGGGGCTCTTGCGAGTCAGGGAGAGACGGTGTCCTGCATGGCTCACACTGATGGTATCGGAAAGCATAATACTATTGCAAGAATGTTGCTTCTTCCGGAGTGAACGCGACATTAGCCTCGGCCGAGGCCACCTACGCCCTAGCGCCTACTTCGTAGGGAGGGTCCGCGCAACATTCGCCTCCTGAGGATCGGAATTCATTCTGCCCTGCCGGCCCGCATGCTTTCACAATTCACCAAGTCCTTCATCCTTCACTCCTTCTTGTTGCTCACACACCATTTCATTATTTTGCCCCTGCAGTCTGGCAAGGACACACCATGGCGCTGCACAGGCCATATGTGAAATTCATGCACGACAAGCATATTGCCATTGCTCCCTCTTGGCGGAGGACACGGTGCGTCGCCGCACACCCTCTCGAGCACCTCTATTGAATGAGGAGGGCGCTGTATCAGCTCCCGCCGATATCCAGCCGCTGACCGAGCACGCACAGGGCCTGCTGCGCATTAAGGGCCGACAGCGTCGCCAGAGCCTCGCCCTTCCTGGACCCTTGTCCACCCAGCTTAGCCAGCAGGTCGCCGGCTTCGTGCCGCGGCAGGGTCAGCAGGCTGCACATCGTGACAGGAACGAAGGTTTTCGGACGGGTGGTGGAACCTCCAGTGGCCGCACACCCAGCCGGCGACCCTGCGCGCACTGAATCCCACCGAGTCCGGTACCGGCCCTCCTCGCCCCACCCTCTTCCACTCACCGACAGGCCTCCCGTGTCTCCTTAAAATGCGCATCCGGGTTGGCTGTCCACTCCCCGAAGATGCTGGTGAGTGCCCCGATGTCGGCGTGGAAGAGCCACGCGCCCTGAGGTGCCAGGTGGGCATGGAAAGGTCGCTTGATTGTATGTTGTTAAGGAAGAGTAGCTCACAAGTGGCAAGCATAAACAGCATCTTCGCGCATACGACCGTCCACCATCGCCGTAGTACCCACCTCGCGGGCGCCAGCTTACAACCCGGCTCCTCTTGCGCGTCCTCCTTCCCTCCCTCCACCCACATCTCCTCACCTGCGGGCTGAAAAGGGCCTCGGTGGCCACCTCATTGTAGAATGCCTGGTTGATGGCCAGCGCCACGGCGCGCCACACGTCGGCGAACACGGGCGGGTCCAGGTCCGAGCTCAGCATTCGCAGCAGGCCGTGCACGCCGTCGGCGGCGGCCAGCAGCGTGGGGCAGGGCCACGCCGAGTCGGCGTCCGGGACCTGGCCGCCGGGGTCCGACGCTGCCCGCCCGGGACCGCCGCCAGCGGCCCAGCCGCTGGCGAAGCGGGCGCGGTCCTGGCGGTAGGGGTTGAAGCGCGCGCGGAAGGCGCCGACTGCTTGCTTGGCCAGGCGGTAGGCCCACTGCCGGCGCAGCGCGGCAAAGGCGGCGGCCACCTTCCTGAGCCTGGGTGCCAGGGCGTGCGCGGGCGCTGCGCCGCCGTCCTGCAGCGCCGCCAGCAGCAGCACCCCCTGGGGCTCGCTGTGAGGGGGAGAGCGTGGAGGGGCGGGGAGCGGGAGGTGCTTGGTGTGTCAAGTTCGGGGACATCATCAAGAGCTGGGCATGGTAGGGCCAACAAATGGGCGATGCCACTTGTGCGGCTCTCCATTGCTGCATGACATCGGTCGTCATTGAAGCAATACCCCCCACTTGACCGCTCAGCTCTCTCCACTCCCTCCCCTCCTCTCCTCAGTATCACTCCACCATCGCCTTCCCCCTCCCATCCCCCCAAACTACCCCGGACCTGAGCTGGTACTCGAGGTAGTGCGCCGCGCAGATGGCCGCCGTCACCCGGCCGCGCCACAAGTCCCCCACCAGGTCGTCAAAGGCCGCGGCGGAGGCCAGGAGGCGCTCCAGGCTCGCCAGGCAGTCCCGCAGCGCCGGCACGGTGATCGACTGGGGCATGTGTGGAGGGGGGCCTTGGGTGAGCCTTCCTGGGTATGTGCGGAGACAGCGCAGCGCGGGATGGGCGATTGCTCGGCGCAGGTGCGAGCAGGCCCTGCGGCTGAGTCTGTTCCCTGCTCAGTCTTGAGCTCCTGTGGGAGCCACCTGGGCCCTCTGCCACACCACAAGCACCCATGGCCCGTAATCAACAGCACACCCACCTCGATGTAGGCGGCCCTGTGCGCGGCGTCGTGCAGCAGAGACGCCCGGCGCAGCTGCGCCGCCACCAGGGTCGTCACCTGGTCGGCCAGCAGGGGCGGCCGGAACTCCGCGGTGGCAGGGGACGAGCCCGGCGAGTGCGGCCCCGTCATCCCCAGGACCCCGCCTCCGGACCTCAGCGCGCCGGGCGTTGCCCCCGCCGCGCATTCCTCCTCCTCCTCGCCCTCGCTGTCCAGAATGCCCTGCAGCAGGCTGTGCACGGGCAGCCAGGCGCCAGGCGCCGCCACCAGACTCTCCATGTGGGCCAGGACGTCCGCCCGCTCCGCCGCCAGCCACGCTGCGCACGCTGCAGCATCTGAGGCGAGCAGAGCCAGCGGAGCCTCGGCCGGCGCGGCGGCGGGGGGCGACCAGCCCGTCCACACTCATGGCGCCAGGGTCATGCGCCGGGCCGCCCAGCAGCACCGCGTACCTGTGGAGGTGAGTTTTGCGAGCTGAGGGGCGCGACAGAAGCCAGTCGGGCCCGCAAGAGACATGTGCGTATGAAGCTCCATCTGCAATAACCCCACACTTTACACTCAGCGTGCTTTTGAACATCGCACCTCTCCTGGAAGCTGGCCAGCTCGTCCGCCAGGTGCAGCCAGAGGGAGGGCTCTCCCAGCAAGACCAGGCGAGGCAGAACGTGCCCAGTCAGCACCGGGCCCAGCGCAGAGGCCAGGATGGCGCGGCCCACCTCCACGTCCAGCATGGGGACCAGGCTGTGGTTTTGGGAAAGCGGGAGGATGATGGGTAGGGGTTGGCACTGAGGAGGGGGTTGGCCTCTTGCCGAGTCCAGCACCCACCAGGGCACGAGCGTTCGAGACAATGATGCCCCCCCTATAGTGCACGCACCGGGCGTCGTCACCGTCGCCACCGAAGCATGCGGCGAGCACGCCCTGGAGCTGGTAGGCGGCGGCGCAGCAAACCCGCGCCGCGCGGAGGGTGATGGCCAGCAGCCACTCGGGGCGGTCCGCGCGGTCGGTGGGCGCGGAGCTCGAGGCGAAGTGGCGGCGCAGCGCAGCACCCACGCCCGCGGCCAGCTCCTGCGCCACCCAGGGGCCCTCATTCTGCGCCGCTTCGCCAGCCGAGCGCTGTAGCAGGGTCAGCTGCAGCGCAGCGCCACGCACGTCTGGCGAGTCCAGGCCGCGCCAGGCGCCGCCGGCCTCATCGCCGGCAGAAAGAAAGGGCGGGGGCCAGCCGGCGGCCCCCAGCGCCGCCTGGAAGCCGGCGGACAGCTGGCGCCGCAGCCGCGCTGAGAGGTGCGCCAGGTCGGCAGCCAGCGCATTGCTCAGCGCGCGCAGAACTTCATGGGAGGATGGGGTTGTGTTTGTGTGGGCGGCCAGCCGTGCGTCGTCCACGACTCCGGCAGCAGCACGCACGGCGTGGGCGAGCGCATCCACTGCGCGACCCAAGGTGGCGGGGGCAGGGTGTGCACACGCCTCCTCCGCCTGGCGCAGGAAGGCCTGCGCTTTCTGGAAGATGAATTGGAAAGAGGGAGGGGGTTAAGCGTGGCACTTGAACCAGCTGATTGAAAGCATTGTTGGGATGCCGAGCTATGGCGTGATGTGAACACCTTCACACACCAAGCACCCGGGACACCCGCCCGCTCTCACTTGCAGTGCTGCAAGGTGTGCATGCGCCGCTGTGAGTGTCTCCAGCTCGGCAGCCAGCGACGCAACGTCGGCAGGCAGGGGCACTCCGCTGTGCGCCCCAGCCAGCCGCGCAGAGTAGCGCTGGTAGGCGGACGCGGCGAGGCTGGACAGCGCTGCGTGTGCCGCCTCCCTCTGCCCCTCCAGGCTCGCGAGCTCGGCAGCAGCTTTCTCCAGATCGCCGCCGGACATCGTGGTGGGTTCGAGGTCCGACACCACGGCCATACCTGCGCTGCCCGGAGCGTGCCTCCCTGGCTACAAAGTTTGATAAATTGTAGACGGAGCCTTCATCGGGCCTTGATGGATCGAAACAAAGGCAGCCAAAAGATTCTACCTCTAAGAAGCAATCGGGCAGTGGTGGGAAGGGGTCCTGCGTCGATCTGATGGGCGACACGAATCGTCTCAGCGATAGGTTTAGGGCAGTCCTTCCCACAAACACGGCCAGCACTGCTGAAAGTAAGCGCCGCGGCTGCTGTAGATGCTACATCTATCGTTTCTGCCGGCACCCGGGCGTGGTAAAAGTGAATAGCGTCGCCCGATCATGCAGGTTCCTCCCCGTCACCACCCAGGGCGCGCAAACGTGATCACGCTTCCCCTGAAGGACTAGGACTTTGGAAACCCCACATCGCCACCGTCTTGCTCGTACAAGATGGGCCGAGCATCCTAAATGACCCTCCACACCATCACCGAGTGTTTGTGAGTGGTCGCGATGCTCCGTGCGTCCCTGCCCAGCACCCGTGCGGGACGTGTTGGCCACACGGGACGCCCGGGCCGGGGCCCTGCCCGTATGTCGCCCCCTTCCGCCAGTGGGGCGGTGCCCAATGGGGCTCCCGCCTCCCCCGAGTCGCTGCCCACGTCCGTGGCTCCCAGGAAGTACGCCCTTGCCACCCTGCTGGTGCACTCTGGTGCGCTGGAGGAGGACCCCCTGGGCGCCTCCTCACCGCCCATCTACCAGACGGCCACCTTCCGGCAGCCTGGAGCCACCACGGGGGGTGCCTACGACTACACTCGCAGCGGGAACCCCACCAGGAACGCGGTCGAGACCCAGTGGGCGGCTCTGGAGGTGGGTGGGGCTGGGCGACGGGTACTTCTCTTGGAAAAAGTCTCATCCAAACATGCATGACACAGGCTGACCGCCATTGCTGACTCTCACACGCATGGTCGCACGGCGCTCTAGCCCGTGCCATCGCTGAAGCTCCCTGCATGCGCCCTCCCGAACTCCTGCCCTGTGTATGTCCAGCCCTTCTTCCTCATCACCATCACAATCCTGTCCCTCCCCACACCCACCCTGCGCCCGCCTGACCTCCACCCCACACGTCCCTTCACCCAGGGTGCGGAGCGCGCCTTCCTCTTCACCAGCGGCATGGCGGCCCTGGCCACGGTCACCCACCTGCTGAGTCATGGCGACCACATCGTGGCGGGGGACGACCTTTACGGAGGCACCAGCCGCCTGCTGGCGCGCGTCTGCCCCGCCGCCGGCCTGGAGGTCACCAACGTCGACACCTGCGACGTCGAGTGCGTGGCCTCTGGGGGGAGTTCTCTGTGAACCCCATCCTACCCGAGGAAGTGGCTGTGGTGGTCGGTGTCCTGCACGCCTGAGGCGGACCCATCATCCTCCGGTCCCACTACTGTGTCTCCCAAGCATTGCCCTTCCCCATGTTCTCACATGAACGCATGCATGGAGGCTGCCGGGCCCGCGTTTGCACGGGCCCCCTTCCTCCGTGCGCACCCGCTCATCCCGCTGCGGCCCTGCCACGGGATGCCCACGGTCCCCAACCCTGTCGCCCGCCGCACCCCTTCCCCCCCATCGACGCCCTGAACCCCCGCCCCCTCCCCGCTTCCCACCCGCAGGGCGGTGATCGCGGCGCTGCGCCCCGGCCGCACCAAGCTGCTCATGCTGGAGTCGCCCACCAACCCGCGCCTCCAGATCTGCGACATCGCGGCGCTGTCCCGCGCCGCGCACGACGCCGGCGCGCTGGTGTGCGTGGACAACTCCATCCTGACGCCGCTGTACCAGCGGCCGCTGGACCTGGGCGCCGACATCAGCATGACCTCGGCGACCAAGTACCCGGCGGGGCACTCCGACCTCATGGCCGGCGCGCTGGCGGTGCGCGACGCCGGCCTGGCGGCTCGCCTCGCTTTCCTGCAGAACGCGGAGGGCACGGGGCTGGCCCCGCACGACGCCTGGCTGCTGGGCCGCGGCCTGAAGACCATGGCGCTGCGCATGGAGCGCCAGGCGAGCAACGCCGCGCGCCTGGCCGCCTGGCTGGCCGCCCGCCCCGAGGTCCGCGGCCTGGCCTACCCCGGCCTGCGAGCCTCGGCGGGGCACAGCGTGCACGTCGCGCAGGCCACGGGCGCGGGCGCCATCCTTTCCTTCACCACGGGCAGCGTGGAGCTGTCGCGCGCGCTGTGCGAGGCCACGCGCCTGTTCAAGATCACGGTGTCGTTTGGCGGCGTGGCCTCCCTCATCCTCATGCCCTGCTTCATGAGCCATGCCAGCATCCCCGCCGAGGTCAGGGCCGCGCGGGGACTGCCGGACGACCTCATCCGGATATCAGGTACACGGGGAGGGGGGAAGGGGGGGGGGGTTGAGGGGGATGTTGAGGGGGATGTGAGGGATTTTTGGTAAAGTTCAGGCCGCAAGAGGCAGGGATGGCTGATCGCTGTGAGTGATGTGCGAAGGGCTGCCAGGTGTGGCGATGCTTCCTCTCTGTACCGTCGAGTGGGTAGAACAGCCCTGGACCATGCGGGGGGCATGTGGATTTTGAAACAGGTCGGTGTCAGGCACGAAGTGCAGTGGTTCCCATTCTGGACCAGGAGCCGCTCTAATCCAAGGCTCCACTTTCCTGCACAGCTGGGATTGAGGACATCGACGACCTCTTAGCAGACTTGGAGCAGGCGTTTGATGCGGCAACCAAGGCCGTCGCAGATTCCAAGCCTGCACTTGCACTTAAATAGACCAAATATTTCCCTCTTCAATCTTCCAGGAGTAGCTGCGTTGGTCCCATGTACCCTGTCATTGCTGTCGGGCATGACCATGATGATCAGGCTCAGGAACCCTCGAGGGCGCGAAGATCGCTGCATATCTCGAGTGCCATGCACAGGAGACGGAAAGGTTACCTCTCCAGCACCGATACCTGGATACCAACTACCTAAATCTCACATTAAGATGCTCACGCGGACATGCCCAACCTCCTGTCAACGACATGCAGTCGTGCCTCCGATGCACGGTGCCATTGTCCGACGGCCCCGACACTGTGCGCCGCGAAGGCAGGTCCTGGCTCGAGTCTCGATCAAAGGGATCAACGACTTTGATGGGTCCTTCGAGCTGCAGGAGGAGAGCAGAGCGACCCTCTACAGCATGCTGAACGCAGAGGGATTCCGACGACAGGCAAGTGCTGCAAAATTCCGGACATGCCGCCAGATCCTGCACGATCATCGCAGCAGCAGCAAGGAGCCCTTCACAATTGTAATGCCCATACCTCCGTGTCCCATAGGTTTCCAGCGAGTGCAAGATGGAGGAAAGCCTCGCCTTCACAGGCATCCTCTTTCAGCCGGTGCCATGGAGCCCCGCGACCAAGCGGGGCATGCCCGCCGAGCTGGAGGCATACCATGCCAGCCCGGACCACACCATCATCAACATCCCTCCCACCATGATGTTCAAGGCCAAAATTTTCAAGCCCTCTCGACTGTGCGCAATTTTCAGGAAGGAGAGCGCCGGCGTGCCTGAGGGCCAGGGCACCCTGACCTGAGCCCAACAACCTGCTCGCGAGCTTCTGCTCCTTGCTGCAGTCTCTGAGCACACCTGAGACGCGTTGCTGTAATACCATGAGCACCATGTATGCAGCAAGCACGCTTGCTGGCCCCGTCAGGCATGGGAGCGAGGGCCCTTGGACTTGGTATTCCTGCCCTCCAGCATGTCGCACTGGACCAGCAGCTGTCGGGCCGCATTGTTGATGTGCGTGAATCGGGCTGGTCCCAGCTGGATGCCTCCGTACCAGCGGGAAACCACCACGCACACGTCCTGAGCACCAGTGATCTGCTCGGCAATGGGGCAGGGGAATGGGAGGTGACTGTGCGTGGGGATCAGGGAGTTGGGACCAACACAGGCGGTGACAGGGTAGGATCGACCGGGCCACAGACACCGTCCTGGTGTATCCTAGGATTAATTTTCTCCCCAGGGACTAGACAGACACACCTGGAGCAGGTGGAGCAGCCTTCCGCCGGCCGCGCTTTCCCCATCGTCGTCGCTGTCCATCGCCCATGTGCCATTGCCCATCTGGAACCTGTACGCCTGTGGGAAGGGTTGGAGCATGTGGGCAACGGGCTGATACTTTTGGATGCCCTTACAGGAGGACTCAGAAATCTTGAAATGCAGAGCAGATCTACACAGGCAGCGACAATCTGGAATGAGCCCCTCGCTCATGAAGCATCAAGCAAAGATCTAGCGTCGCAGCCACTCGCCATGATGTTGTGGGTGGCATTCTGGACCTTGGGTATCGACAGGAGTTGAGCCACAACAGCTTCCACCTGGAAATGTGCATGGGGTTGATGCTCGCGCAGCAATCATGAATAAATAGGGAGCTACCGACCTCCCTAAGTTCCAAGCAGGGCTGCCCCTACCCATGTACCCTTCCAAATCCTCACTCCTTCTCTAGAATGCACGACGGCAAGGTGGGCTTGGAATGTGGACCTCCTCTCGGTGAACGGCTCCCCATGGACTATGCCCAGGTCTGGGCCTGGCGATGCCTCTGGGTGGGCCTGGGAAGGGAGCTCGCCCCCGGGCTTAGCGTCGTCGCTAGCCTCCGTTGCCTCGTCCCCGCCCTCCCCTGGGCTGGGCGGGGGTTGGTCCGCCACCCAGTCCTCCATGCACATCCGCAGCGCCTCGAGCCATTGAAAAATGACGGGCTCGCCTGCACATGGCACGACATCATCATGAGGGCTCTGGCGGGGCATCTGGGGCACGCAAACGGCATGCACCAGCAACCCACATTGCCCTCTGTGTGGCCTCCAGGTGTCGCACCCGGAGAAAAGCTCTCGACCAGGCCTGCGATGCAGTCGTCCAGCACTGCGTCGTCCATGCCGGTGCTGGCCACCTCAAGGTGAGGGGGGCTGACTGCCGGGTAGTCCGCGGGCAGCAGCACCCCGGCAGTCAAGGAAGCGCTGCCAGAGGAGAGGCGTACCGTGCAGATGCCCGAGTCGAGGTCCACGTCCACGGCATCATCGCCGTAGATGGCAGAGATAGCGCAGAGCTCCTCCTGGACATCCTCCAGCAGCCCACCCATTGCTAGAGAGCGACTGTCCCGCCCAGAAGAGACGGGGCTATCGGAGTGTAAGCTTCATGGTATGATTTGTATGTCTTATGAGCGGGCAGGTCGTATACTGATGTGTTGACCTTGCTGCACCAGACCGGTTCAGGGTGTCCCTAGAGAGCCCTTGGCGATAGAGCTAGGGGCATTGTCGATGGTCGACAATATAACAATCCCAGGAGCTGAAATCAAATTGGATGTGCTGGTTGCCGCATGTTTCCATCACGTCCGCTGTGCCTTCGTTTATGCCGGAACCTCGACGAGTTTTTCAGCTGCATCTAATGTGCGCGCGCGCCCTGTCGGTGCGTACTGCCACTTGCCGAAACAATACTGCGGGGTTCACCGCTGCCCATGTATAGAGATCTGGATCCCAATATGTTCTCCTGAGGTTTTGTTTGTCATCCAGGATGTGCATGTCGCCGTGACCCAAAGGGCTGCAGTGGTAGTGTTCGGGGGAAGGACCCATTCCCTGCATCGGGTACGATGGGACACAACCCTACAGACCTGAGACATCACCATGATGGGGGTAGCTGTCAACGTCTATGATCTAATACGTCATACATGCCACGAATGCAGGCCATTCGAGGGGCCCACCATGGCTTTCAGTCCCATGCGAGGGGACCCTGCCACGCTCGACCCCCACCCCCGGGAAGATGTCACGCTGCGGTGCGGGGACACCTGCATCACCCTGAACTCCCGACTAGCCGGTGCCACCTGGTCAATGACCTACCGTGGCCAGGAGCTGATCCTGCCCCAGCCGGGGAACGGGGGCAGCCTGCAGTCCGCCTGCGCCTTCGACGTCCGGCCCGGCACCTCCCCCGAGGCGGAGAACCCCACGGAGGCGGGGAACGTGAACGACAACGCCGGCGCCACCTCCTCCGAGTGGAAGGTGTGTCGCGTGAACGCCGACCACACCGAGGCCTACACGGAGACCCTCATGGCTTACTTCTGGCCCCCCGGCAGGCCCATGGAGTCCGGCCCGGACCGAGGCCCCCCCCGCAACACCAGCGTGCTGTCCCGCGTCACCCTGGCCAAGCACCTCGTCTTCCTAGCCCCGGACCTCCTGCGCTACACCGTGGCCTTCTGCCTGCCGGCCGACGAGCCGCACTGGTTTGCGCAGGTCGAGGCGCTGACAGGATACATGCACCCTAGCACCCTCCCCTGCCGCTGGAAGGTGGCCGCTGAGCGGGGGAGGGGGGGGCCCTTCGCGGCGTGGACCCCGGTGCCCTCCGGCGACGCCCCCGCCGCCCGGCCGGGCACGCCGGCGGAGGGCATGGTGTACGCCTCGCGGGGCGGGGCGTTCGCCTTTGGCGTGGCGGCGGTGGACTGGCCGCCGGGGGGCCACGTCTACGCCGGGGACGAGGCCGCGCCGCCTTGGGCGGGGACCTGGCAGGACCCCTACAAGTGGAACTACGTGCACCACTTCAACGCGCAGGTCTCGCCCGAGGACAGCCGCATCCCCACCGGGGCGCTGGGGTACAGCTTTCTCCTGGCCACGGGCGACCTGGAGCGGGTGCGTGGCGTGATTGCTCAGGCCACGCTGCTCGCGGCGGCCAAGTGCCGGCCACCGGCGTAGCCAAGGTGCTGCCTGTTGCCAGGTTGACAGCGTACCTGTTGTGCTCAGTCCGTGGCTGCCTGCGTGGGCCACCAGACCCAGGCTTGCTCCCTTGCGACTGCTTGAAGCCGTGCACCCCCATCCCATGGGTGGCACCCCCTTCCCAGCCCCAGCTCCCAGGCTCATGCTCTGGTGATCTGGGGCCGACCACCATGTCCACAGAAGAAATGCCCCTCAGTACCAATCCTGTGCTGCTCCATGCCTTTCGATAGCCTCGACCCAGCCTTGCCACTTGGATTCCTCGGAACAGTCGTCACAGGGTCAAGAGCATGGCAGCACAGCAGAGCGCAGCTGGCAGAGGCACAAACCACCGCCGCCAACTGTGGGTCTAGCGCAACGAGGGCCCGAGGGGGATCCTGGCAGCTTCTAACAGGGCGGTTCTAGAGTGGCCCCAGAACCTCACTTGATGAATTGGGATACCCAGCGGAAGCCGTCGCCATAGCCCATCCGCCGCACCTGGCGAGAGGGCAGTGTGCTTGATGTTATCAACTGGGGATGTCGCGTCCAGACAACCTGCAAGCACCGCGTACAGCACCTCTTCCAGCCCTGCACATCGACCATGTGCCAGCCTGTAGGGGGCCCAAGCCCAAGTGATGACCACCCATCCACCCAGCCTACCACACTGCACATGAAGATCTCGATAGGGCGCATGGTGAGGGACTTGACGTCGACCTTGCCCTTGCCCGTGGTCAGGTTGGCCAGGCCGAGGGCATACCGGACCTCATCCTCGGAGGCTGTACAGGAGGGTCATGTGGGTGTGGGTGTGAGCTTGGAGCGCAAACTTCCCCAGGCCGCTTCCTCGCAGAGTATCTGGTTCCTGCCTCCCCTTCCCCACTGGAAAGCAAGCCCCGGGTACAAAGTCCAGGTCCCTTACGCGTGCAGCAGGGGGGGGGGGGCGGGGCGACTGCACCTTCCCGTTCTTAGAGCAGCCTCTCCAAACCCAGTTGAACCGCAGTTCCTCATGTTCCCCCAGACCCAACCAGATGGCTCGACGCACCAGCCTGCGGCAGATCGATCTTGTTCCCCAGCACCAGGAACGGGACGTCACCCAGGGAGTCGTCGGAGAGGAGGGAGGACAGCTCCTTCTTGGACTCGTGGAAGCGTTCCCGGTCGGCGGTGTCCACGAGGAAGACGATTGCATCCACCTTGGCATAGTAGTCCTTCCACACCTTGCGCGCAATCTCGTGCCCCCCCAGGTCGAAGGCCTTGAAGTTGATGCCCCCCATTTGGAGCTCCTGTTTTGGGTGGGAGGCAGGGGACGGCAGTCGGTTCGTCGCCCAGTGTCGTCCGGTGCCCGGCATGTGCAGGTGGTGCGGCCCCAGTGCCTCGGCGGCAGCGGGTGGCATGACATGGGGGCCCACTGCCTGCGGCACCACCAGGCGCAGCACCAGTCCGCCACTTGGAGCAGCCGAGAGAGCTGTGACTTCAAGGAGTGTACAGGCAGCCACGGTAGCCAACCCACGGCAAAGCTCGCATGGCCATCGACCGCTCAGCACCTTCCTGCTGGTTCCACCCACCTCCGAGGTCGGGTACTGTGTGGGCTGGTGCTGTGCCAGCCTCTCATCCTTCAGCATGTGCATGAGCGTAGTCTTGCCGGCATTGTCCAGGCCCAGGAAGAGGATTTTGGCGTTTTTGTTGTACAGCCCCAAACTGTTTAGCACAGACTGGAACCTGCGTGTAGCGGTGGACAGCCGGGAGGTTGCGCGTCCAATGCCAGATTGCTTAGAGAGGAGTGGGATGGTGCCGAACCAGCGTGCGGGAGCCTGGGAGCCCGCATCGGCAGCTTACCAATTCCAGAGGAACATTGCGCTGGGGCGATCAAGGTGCGGGGTAGAACGGGGTGCTGGCGCCCACACCCAGGAGCACGTATGAGGTTCAGGAGCGTGGCGTCGAAAAGGTATCAATCTGCGTCTGGTCGCCGCGCTCGAAGCACACGAGCGTGAGGTGCCCTGCCTCATGCAGTCCCGTTGCGCATAATGGAAAGCATGGGATCCCGCACACACGGTTAAAATTTATACTCTGAACTCTGTCTGGGTACAAACCATGGCGAAGGGGAACAGGCAAGCAACTGCAGAGGATCAGAGCTTTGGTACAGATGAGTGTAATGCATGTGTTCAAGGACTAAGTGCT